GCTTAATCAATAGTTTTGATTAGCAGTTAAAATTAATAAGAATGGCAAACTGCTTTTATCAAATGTTATAAATATTAATAATAATGTTATGCACTAAATAGAAGTCTGAAAGTTATATACCGTGAGATTTATGATTTCTTTTTAAAAATACTTGGTTTTGTTAAAACATGGTTATTTACTGTAATTAAAGTAATATGATTATTTAGAATTTTATTCAATTACTGTTTGTTCTATTATTAGAATCTATTACAAATCTTACTTAATTGTACAAAAATTTGAATTCGAAAGTGACATTAATAAAATATAAATGATTATTAGAGCTCTATAAAAGTTTAAAGAATAATAATTTTATGCAAGAAAGAATTAATGTGATTAATAAAATTAATGTGCATAGAAAAGAATAAATCATAAAACTCTTGATACCTTTTATTTGAAATTTCATTAGAAATATGCGAAATGTAATATTATAGTATAAAACAGGTATTAATATGATTCATTATTATAAATGTAATAAAAATGAAGAAAATATAATCTATATTAAAATTACAATTTATTATAAGATCTTCAAAATAGTTTTTTTAGTAATTTTTTTTAAGCTGTACTAAACCTTGAAGCTGCATATTTATAACAAAGCCTTGAAAATAGACGAGATATCCAATAATAAATCAATAAATATTTATATCAAACAATAAAGAAATATAATTTAAAATAAAGAATGCCAATAATTCCAGTAAGTACATTATTTTTCATTAAAGTTTTTTTTGGATAAAATGTAATCATAGTTTTTTAATGAAGTTGAAAATGAGGAAAACTAGATTCAATTAATGTTCCTTTTCCACTAATGATTAATCTATTTGTATAAGCCATTAAGCATTCTAAAGTTCTTTAAAATGATTCATTTGATCAGTAATTTTAACGCTCTATATAGTATAAAACTGTTTGAAATTTAAGTTTTTAGCATGAACTAGTCAAATTTTTATATTTATGCAAGTGAGAAATAATTTCGAATTTTTTTTTAATTATTAAATGATGAAATATTTGCAATAGCCTTGTATATCTATAGATTATCCTAATGCAAATTTTCTATCCTGCTATTTCCTATTCTGCAATCCTAATGCAAATTAAAATAAAGTGTATAAATATAAAGATTTTTTATGCTGTTACAATGAGAAAGATAGTTAAAATTTTATATAAATAAATGGTTTAAAGTAAATTAAACAAATATTTGAAGTATGCTTTAGAATTAATAAATAAAAATTAATTGTTCTCAAAAAATTGTATCAAATACAGTTATAAATGTAACCTTTGTACAATTTACGAACTTATCATTTAGCCAAAAATATGATTTAATATTTATATTTATGATTAATAGAAAAAATTGGTTTAAATCAAGATTACATTAAAATTTTTAGTAAAATATAATTATAAAGTAATAATTTAGTATCTATGAACATATCTCTGATTAGTTAAAGCATTAAAGTTTCATGTGAATTTTGATGAACAATATTTACAGTACATAATATAGTAAGTAATACATGACATTTTCTAATGAAAATCTAAGAGAATTGGGTATAATTAGAATTTATACAACAAAAATTTGTATTAAAGAATGAAACAAAGTCAAATTAAACATTATCAATTCAAACATAAATTCAAGTATTAAATATGCGAAATTATGTTACTATAATTTATATATTCATGTATCGATTACCAAATATGTTAAATGTTAAGTTTAATTTAAACTGTGGATTTTAAAAGTTTATAAAAAAATTTGTTTATATTGTAGAAGATATTCAAACAATTTTCATTGATTAAGTTAATGTTTATACTAACAAAATTGTAATTAAGTTATTATGACCATGAAAATACAAAAATCAATCAATATGTGATAAATATTTCGATTCGTGAAATTAACTCGCGAAGTATAATTAAGTTAAGCATTTTTACTAGTCCAACACTTATCGACATTGGTACATTTATTTACTTATTTAACATATGTATATATATATATATATATATATATATATATATATATATATATATAAATTTATA